GTAAATCATGAAGTGAAATTTTAGGAGAATTTCTTTGATAAAAATAAATGTCCAACGTCCAACACAAAACTAGATTTTTTCAAAAATTTCCAATTATTAGTGTTTCGAATAATAAGAATGTGAACCTCAGTGAAGTCATGACCCTACAATTTCCTTTAAATTCATCATAAATTCCTCACAAATTCCTCCAAATTCACTAAAAATTTCTCCAAATTCCCCATAAATTTTTTCAAATTCCCTATACCTCAATTCCCCACATTTTTGGCAAAGAATTCCTAGGGGTTTTGCCCCTTAGAAAATACAGTCTCATACAATTCAAAGTTTTTTTGAAAAACTACTTGAGGGAATGACTGAAACTTTTTGCATTTGAAGAGGTTTGCGAAGCGGTTTGTTTCCCAAAATTTCAAATTTTTCTAAAGGAAAATAACAAAATGAAAAATCTTGGAAATCAACTTAGAACAAGTGAATTAATTGAAAATATAATATCACACATTTCAAAGTTTTCCTGGAAAACTAATTAAGGAAAAATGTTGAAACTTTTTGCATGTAAAAAAAAGGTTAGGAGCTCATTTTCCCAAAATTTCAAATTTTTCCATTGGAAAATAACAATATGGCGAATCTTGGAAAACAGCCTACAAAAACTGAATTAATTGAAGGCCAGTCTCATACAATTCAAAAATTTCTTGGAAAACTAGTGAAGGGAAAAATTTGAAACTTTTTGCATGTGAAGAAGAAAATTAGGAGCTCATTTTCCTCATCATTTTCCCAAAATATCAAATTTTTCCAGTGAGAAATAACAACATGACGAATCTTAGATAACAGCCTACAAAAACTGAATTTAAATTGAAAGACAGTCTCACACAATTCAAAATTTTCCTGGAAAGGTAGTGAAGGGAAAATTTTGAAACTCTTTGCATGTAAAGAGGAAGGTTAGTGGTTCATTTTCCCAAAATTTCAAATATTTTCCAGTGAAAAATAACAACATGAAGAATCTTGGAAATCAGCTTACAAAAACTGAATTAATTAAAAATACAGTCTCACACATTTCAAAGTTTTTCCGGAAGACGGATAAAGGGAAAAATTTGAAACTTTTTACATGTAAAGAGGAAGGTTAGGAGCTCATTTTTCCAAAAATTTATAAATTTTTCCAGTGGAAAATAACAACATGAGAAATTTTGAAAATTAACTTTAAATACTTGAATTATTTGAAAATACTTTCTCACACATTTCAAAGTTTTCCTGAAAAACCATAGAGGCAAAATTTTGGAACTTTTTGCATGTGAAGAGGAAAGTTAAGAGCTCATTTTCCCAAAATTTCAAATTTTTCCAATGGAAAATTACAACATGCAAAATATAGAAAATCAACCAACAATAACTGAATTAGTATATGAGAATAAAGTCTGACACATTTCACAGTTTTTCTGGAAAAGTAGTACAGATAGGGAAAAATTTGAAACTTTCTGCATGTAGTGAGGAAGGTTAGAAGCTCATTTTCCCAAAATTTTATATTATTTCCAGTAGGAAATAATAACATGAAGCTTGACTTCTATAGTTTATGAAATGTGTTTATACATAGGTACCTACCTACTTACTTACCTTTATTTTGTTAGCAGTTAGATATTTTTATTCACAAAATATTGAACAGGAACTAAACAATATGCGATACACAAAAATTCTCAAAGATTTCTGGTGAAAATTTCCTAATTTCCTATGATAATTTCAGTAAATTTTCTATAATTTCGAAAAATTTCCCAATATTTCGAATAATTTCCTAACAGTTCCTGACATTTCCCAAAATTTCCAAACATTTCCTATAATTTCTGAGAATCAACATAATTTGTGATAATTTAAAGGAAATTTCTGTAATTTCTCAACATTTCCGGAAATTATTTTGAGATTTGTACACCTATTTCCAAGCGTGAGACACCCCTCGACTTTTATGGAACAGTAGGTATCTCCTATTCATAATCTGTAGACCAAAGGTACAGGTAAATTTATCACCTTTCCCTATCAAATCGCATTGAAAGGTGATACATTTTACCTGTACCTTTGGACTACAGATTGTGAATAGATAATAGTTACACTTTATCCAGAGTTTTAAATTCCTCTAAAATACCCCAAAACACCTTAACATTTCCAACAACTGCTGGTTCTATAGTGGATTTAAATAAATCAATGCTTATAAACTATGGACTTTCTGTGATCGTTGATTCAATTCCTGCCATCGTACATACTTACATAGATAGATAGATAGCGACATCATGATTACGTTTTGAAAAGATGGTTTACCGGGGTACCCAACCAATTAATCAGTTGCAAACACCCATACCTGATCAACTTTTTTTTATGTAAGTGTCCAATATGAGCCATGCAAAAATGAGTGCTGCAATTTTTTTTTTTCTGTTTCTAGCATGATTATTCTTGGCATTTTTGTGCCAACTCTATATTGTTTCGTTTGTCTCACACAAAAGCTCACTACTGCATGCATGGTGTATATGGAATAATGAAGACCAAACATAAGCCGCCACATAAATTTGCCAAAGCTCTTTATATACACACTGCAGGCTTAGTTATACTCCTTTGTACTGGGACTTAAAACTTAAAACCTTCTAGATTTACTGGAGAAAGTCTATTATTTCTTATTATTTATTTAGAAACAGTGGTATTGTGTGCAATTTATTGGCAGAATAAAAATAGAAATTCTTGGTACACAGTGTATCGCGCTAGGAAACAATTAACACTTATGCTAATCTCAAAAAAAGGAGTGCATGCAAGCACATGCACTCAAGTTGCTGCATTTTTTTTTTAAGTACAACGAACCCGATGATGATGGCATCTGTGTGCATGGCTAAAATTGAGGTTAAACAAAACTGAAGTGCGGTTCGTTTGTTTTACGAATTTACACAATACCAAATTTGCTTCACAAATACAGCCATTTGGCACTTGCAAATTAGTTAGAGATTGATCGGTTTTTGTGTTGGAGAAAAATAACGCTCGGTTTGTGAAGAGGAAATTGAAAAGGAGCTGTATCTGGAATAGTGGAACACAAATATGTATATGGGACTATTCAATGCAATATTGACGTAATAAACAACAACACTACTATATTATATTGCTTTAACCTCGATTTTAATCCCTGGTTCGTTGCACTTTGAAATTGGTCGGATGGATTTAGAGGCATAGATACAGACAGACATTGACTGCAATGATGATGGCAGCAGAGACTATCTAACAACAGAGAAAATATTGTTTATTCAGCCGCCCCTCTGGCTGTTTATTGTTTGTTCTTTTCAATAACAATAGAGAAATCCATTGTGTGATTTTATTGTATTTCATTTCATTTTTTTTTGTTGGACTCATTAAATGCGCTTTTGTGAATTCGTGTGTGCTGAATATGCAATATTTGATGGTTTGTAGTTATTGATTTTCCAAATTTTAATTGCAGTTTGAACTTGATTATTGTAGAGATATATGGGAATTTTAAAAAATTATAAAGCTTGCCCTCAAATCTCTTGCACTATGACCTCCTTCAGAATTCCTAAAAATTACCAACCATCTGGTACTTTTATTTTTGTAAACATCATTGTTTGCCAGTCATCAGTCCCTGGAAATGAAATAACTAACTGTTAAGTGGCCTTGAGGAATTCCATATGTTCCGCACCTGCAGAGCTGTACAGACGTCCTATTGAAGATTCTTGAGTTTGATTTTGGTTTTTCGGCTGTATGTACTGGTTTTAGTCAGCTACCACTCCATCTGTTCTTTAAGGATTCTGCTCATTCTGTGCCTCCTAAGTGTTGGGTGCTAAACAATGATTTTTCAAAATTCATGTGTAAATTTTTTTACAATTTTGATGTTGTTCACGTTCACTTGTAAATAATTGGCTTGTTGGTTCGGAAATACTTGATTCTCTCATTGAAATATTTTGTTGAACGGTGGGTGATTTTGTGTGTTGTCAGTTGCCAGTATTTCCGCTCTCTGTGATGGGGTGAACAATAAAGCCAAGTTACATAATATGCCATAAAACAAAAGATTTTGGGTCAAAACTCTTCAAATACGCTTCACACCACTAACCCAAATAATTAGAAAACACGAGGCAAGTATTTAGAAAATATGGAAAAAAGCGCGAAAAATCAAGTGTTCTGTAAATTGAGTAAAATGTTGTTTCTGCTTTGTTCTGAAAAAAAAAAATCTTTTTGTTATACAGTAACTGTTGTTCCCTATACGTTTTATATAAATTGCGAGCATGTATTATTATTTCCCTAGTTAGAATTTTTATAGCTCAAAGCAAAAACACCATAACCTATCAGAAAGTAGCAGCAACTTTTAAACGAAACAGCCTGTATTCAATGCAATTTCTTGAATTCCTATGTTTGAGTTTTCGTTATCAAGGTTCAACTGACTGTAATGAAAAATATTCTCTAAATCTGAAAACACTTTATCTCTGATTTGTTGTTCACCTTTATCCAACGCCATCAATAAAACTGCCTATTTTTATCCAACGAGACTTCAATAATGACAAAAGGTTGCTCTCTAACATGGCACCACCGAGAGCAACACTGCAGAAGACCAAATTTTTTTTTTGGAAATTACTATATACTTATTTGAATATACATTTTGTACATGCAAATACTCGAAAACCATCCGTATTTTTTGGTAATTGGTTGCATTAAATTACATATATACATATAAACAAAAAAAGGGCAATCAAAAAATTCCCAGACGTATCACTACTTACAATTAAAATTAATATGGATCATATTCGTTGGTAAAATCATAATCTCATGTTAACTTAGCGCTTTTATATCGCTTATATGTTTGTTTTATTACTTGTGTGTTGGCAGGATACTCATTAAAGTTTTGTAGACTCTGCATAACTAAGTATTCGCTAGGCATAATATAATTTTGTTTTATGACTCTTTTGATGCATTCCTATTGTAACATAACTTTAATGGCTTAATTATGAAATTCTTAGCTGATTTTTATATTTTGTTTGTTTCAGACCGAACCACAACAGCCAAGCTACAGCCCATGTATCTGCGGCGGATCTGTACAAGCCGTCACGGTCGCCACTGTCCAACACCAGATGTCCCTATCCCCCATCCACTCAGCTGCAGGCTACCCCGCAGAATATCACTCAAGTGCAGGTAAGAATTTATTCACCAAAAACTAAAACCTCGACTAAAACACATAACATAATCTGTAGTATCTGTATTGTCGATGAAGCAATGAGATCTATATGGTAGGAAAAGAACTTTATTGAAACATAAATTATTATTATTATCATTATTATTATAGGGGTCTCGACAGTAGGCGGAAAACCCGGTAGACTGTCATTAGTCCTTGTGCTGGGAATGTTACTTGCCAGTACACTATTTTACGGCCTATCACTAAAATATTTATCAAGTCTGTTCTAAAAGGCATTCACACTAGGGAAGGTTACAACCTCGTCAGGGAGCTGATTCCACTGTTGCGCCACTCGATTTGTGACAAAGTTCGGTGGAGAGCTTCAGGGAGTGTCCACGCAGATGAGGGTTGATATTTCTGTGAAAGAAATCAATGTCGCATGTGTAATGATTATGTAGAATTTTGTATGTTTCGATTAAGTATCCTCTATTTCTGCGTTTCTCCAGAGTTATCAGATTAAGAGCTTTCAGTCGTTCTTCATATGGCAATTCTCTTAAAGATGGTGAAATTTTGGTTGCCCTCCTCTGGACACGCTCAATCAGATCTAAGTCCTTTCTGAAATAGGGACACGAAACCACAACAGCATGCTCCAGCAGTGGTCTGATGTAGGTTTTGTAGGCTCGGAGAAACACTTCAGGGGGCATTCCCCTGAAACAGCATTGTATCAGATAGACTGTTGAGTTGGCTCGCTTCACGATTGCATGTATGTGCTGTTCCCATTTTAGGTCATGTGAGATATTTACTCCTAAGTCGGCCTGCTCAGTCACCCTTTCCAAGTTCTTATTGCCAATATAGTAGTCCAGCATAGGATTGTTGTATCCAATATGCAACTCACAACATTTGCTGACATTAAGTTTCAATAACCAGTCCTTCGTCCACCTATACAGCTCAACAAGATCCTCAACCATGGCATCTTGTTGGAATGTAGGGTCATAGATTATCTTGGTGTCATCGGCATACATACTGGTCCTACGGGACATGTTCTGGGCAATATCTAAGACATAAATTATAAATAGAAGTGGGCCCAGCACAGAGCCTTGTGGAACTCCACTGACTACATTGTGCTTGCCAGATAAGGTGCCATTTATTCTGACTTGGTATGTCCGACTACACAAGTAGTCCCGAATCCATCGAAGCAGCCGACCCCGTATACCACAATTCTCAAGCTTGTGAAGCAGTCTCTATGAAGGAACAGTGTCAAACGCCTTTTCAAAGTCAAGGTACACAGTGTTCCAGGCTGGACAGGAGATTGGATGTAACTGATCTCCCTAGCAGAAAACCATGCTGATTGGATAGTCGATGACCATGATGGGTCATAAGGAATTCTGTCATTTCAGTAGCTATAATCTCTTCCATGTATTTGCAGGGTATTGATGTTAAACTGATAGGCCTATAGTTTTCAGCTAAGTCTTTATCGCCTTTCTTATATATCGGAATGACAATTGCATTTTTCCACGCTTCTGGGACTATGCCATCTGTAAATGATTCTATCATTGTTCTTGCAAGGATTCCACTCATGGTCGCGCTGCAGTTTTTAGCAATATTGGGGATACATCATCAGGTTCTGGACTGGCAGAGCGCTTCAGATCAAGCAGTACCTTTTTCACCTTCTGTGGGGTAAAAACAATATTTTCAAGTGTAAGGCCTGACCATCTGGCTGCAGAAAGTTTTGGTATAGTTGTTGTGTCTTCGTGTATAAATACTCTGTGAATTGATTGCTGAATATTTCCCCCACTCTTTGTGGTTCAGACTCAAGATGGTTGTCTGAATCTCTCAAGACAAAGTTTTGAAGCCTAGATTGAAGCGAACGGTTGATATACTAGTAAAATCTTCGTGGACCCTGTTCTAGGAGACTGCTCTCAAAAGCCGACCGAGCATTACTTAATGTTTGGGTGATTCGATGGTACATAGACTTCTGATATGTGGTCCACTACTTCGACAAAGTTATCATAATAGGTTGTGCTGTTTTTGTTCCCATTGCTCAAGAAAATTATTTATGGCGTCGTATTCTCCCTTCCAGTGGTTTTTGTGTCGTTTTACAGCTTTAACAACTGGAAGTAGGGTCATCTGGGCTGTTGCCACAAAAGTAACATGATCGGTCCTACCTATTGGGGGTGCAGACGTAATACTTGTCACCAACCTTTCATCTGATACCAAGAACAAGTCAAGTAATGGGGGAACAGTACCCTTCCGAAAACGAGTAGTAGAGTCGATTAACTGATGCAGTCTTGATTCCTGGTAGGCCAGTAAACATTCTCCGGCAGGAACACTATGTTTAGTCACTTCACCGGTGGACCAATCTATTTCAGGATAATTAAAATCACCATAAATTATTGTGGTAAAAGAATCGTTTAGCCTGTTTAGCATATCCACAATCAAGTTGTTATCCTCAGACAATCATCCAGGAGGTCGGTAAATACACCCCACCAGCAGCCGGACAGCACCAAACCTCAGGTCGACAAAAACACTATCCACCATAGTTAGCCCAATATTAAATTATTCTTGCCTTATTCAAGAGACTTGGCCTGGATACAATTTTCGATATGGATACTCACCCCTCCACCTATCTTTCTTTGCCCATGGTCATTTATGGCTGTGCGATCCTTTCTGAATAATGTGTAGCCATGTATACCAATCAAAGTCTGGTATGTGTGTGTTCAACCATGTTTCATATAAATTAAGTTGGCCTTTTGTCTAGAATTTCAATGACAAATTCATCAAACTTGGACATGATAGAGCAAAAAGTGGTACACAACATAAACTGGATATTATTTAAAAAACAGGCAGAGAAATGTGATCTTTAATAAAATAACGGAAATTTATTGAGAGAGAACAATTTGGCCTGGATACCTTTTTTTTTTTTCTCCATCCTAAAAGCTAAATATGGAAAATTGCTTCCTTTATGTTATACCCTAACAATAAATTTCTCTCTCTTGTGCTGATGTGGGTGAACGGAAAATAATGTACTGAAGCCAGGCACGCAAGAACGATTCTAAGGTTGTTTTTTTTTTTCGATAAGGGAATAATAGAAAAATGCACATATTTTCTTACAGAAATGTACCTTATTAATTTTCAAAAGAGACGATTCACTGCGATCATTTCGTATCCTTGTAAAGATATGTTTTACTTTCGTGTGTTAGAGGACAAGACCAAAAAATAAGAAACTATGAAGCTTTCAGCCGAAAGCTTGATAGTTTCTAATTTTTTGGTCCTATCCTCTAAAGTCCACATTACATCTGTGTATTTTTTCGTGTATATCTACATGTATCGAAGAAATAGACGAATGTAAAGCAAAAATATTAACCTGTGATATTGGGTCCTATGATTGAACGTTTACGTTATCCGTAACGTACATGTTAGGCCGAGTTTTAACAGTAACGATGCAAGTTCGTATGATGGAATGTTTTTCATAACAGATTACTGTTATTTCCCACCTGTTATGTTCTAATTTAACATATCTCCTCAACAGCCCCGAATAACATGCCGTTAAGTGCTTAACGTTCATGTTACCAATGTTTTTACATTTGTTTGGAGATCCTATTTTGAATGACGGGGTAATTAATTTACATAATACAAGAAGAGAATCAATAATTATCAAACTAGATTTTATGTTAATCATAATTATGAGGTACAAAACTTTAATATTAATTCACTATTTGAGGACTGAATTGGACACTCAAAGAAGGCATACCAGAGGTCAATTGAAACTCCTGATAAGGTTTTATTACTAAATATACTAGACTTCCAAAAGTTCTAAAAGAATCGGTGCAGTTTATAATTGCAAAAATAAGGCAATATTCCTCAAAGACCAAGGATTTCATCCATTCCAGTTGAACTGAAGGTCTAAATTCTAAAAGTTTATTCTGAATTCTTAGTAGGTAGTTGGAGCTGTTTTTCATTTTATATAAGGCAATGGTTCTAGTAGTGCTTTTATTTTCGTGTACAAATGATGTCCACTCATCAGAGGGGTTTTCTTGCGTCTCGAAGTTTTGAAAAATAGTTTGAAACAGTTTCCCAATGAGCTCATAACTTCTCGGCGCGAGAAAATGGTTCAAAAATATGGATTGGATTGTATTTCGGAACAGTTTGAACCAATTTTGTGTGACGTCATGGGTTTATGGCGAGAATATACACTATTTCAAACCTGTTTTGAACCAGTTTCAAAAAAATAATCGCGAGAAAACACCCAGGGCATTAATATGATTTGGAAATGTCCCCACACTGTTTTACAGTTATTTTAGATAATCTTTTCGCCCCAATAAATTGAATAAAATGTAAAATGAGCTGCAAAAAAATGTAATTTAATTGTTTGTTATTGTTATTTCAAGAAAAACGTCACTTTTGAAACCAAAGTGAAGCTAAGTACAAATACTTTCTTCCATTCCTAACAGCCAGCTTAACATTTTCTGTTATCGATTTCGTCAATCATACCGATATAACATCCACTGTTATTTTATATGTTATCTATTCCCTGTTAGCATAACATAACAGGTTTATGTTAATTTTAACGTAAACGTTCAATCATAGGACCCATTAACTGTGTATTTGACACTTTTGACAGCTGCTCACGTGAAAAAATTCATGAATTTATACATGCATAAATAAATAAAGTCTGTTTTTTTTTAAAGATAATTCCCCAAGTCAAAAATTTAGTAACTATGTTGGCAACACAAGCCTTTTCTACATAAAAAATTTGAAAGCATTGACAATTTTACATTGTATTGCCAACATAATGTCATTTTGACTTTTATCTTTAAAAAAAAAACAGATTTTACATGTTAAGAAATACACAGATGTAATGCGGGCTTTACCCACGAAAGTAAACCATAGATGATATCTGGCAAATGAAAAACATATTGACATTGATCAAACAAAATTTACGTTAATCAAATACATACAATTTGTATCGACTTTTCTATTCTATCCCAAAATAATACTGAAAAACCATTCTGCTTACAGGTTTCTCAGAGGTATCCCACACAAGGGCCGGCCGCCTCCATTACCACCCCCGCGGCCTCGTCGCTTCTCACTCCAGCAACCGCCTACCACCGCCCCCAGCCGGACTATCGGCATACCAACCGTATCTCGTTGCTACATCCAGAATATGGACCTGGAGGACGTAGAGAGGCAGCAGGGGGCGGCGGCGGTCAGCTACCACCTGGCTCAATCGGCGAACAACCGTTGAAAAAGATCCGATTGACTGATAAAGAGTTGCCACCTTTGAGGATCGATACAAGAGTAAGTTGAAAATCAATCAGGGCCAATCAGATACTTAACTAGGAATGAAAACTTTACAAGTTTCTTGTTGTGATGTATCTTATACACTGAAAAAAGAGTTTATGTAGTTGTAATAAAAATGGAGTTTATTCAACTACTTTTAGGATGGAGCGAGATCCGACTTTGGCGCCCCTAATTCAAATGTGAATGCGAATGAATAATTATTAATTAACACTTATAAACATAAAAATAGAACAAACAAAATACAAAATTTTAGGTAAATCTGTGTTTGCGCACTTTTGTGGACAGCATAAATAAGTATTAATTAGATATATTCTAAGAAAATTTTTTTCAGTGTATGACAGCGTATAAACTAAGTATTTTGCAAAGTTTTAAAAGTGCATTAAGTGTATCTTTTTAAAACAATGCTATTTCCATTCTATCCATATTCACGAATACATCCAAGTCAAAGTGTATATTATAGTAATCAGAATATTTTCCATATGGAAATTTCATAGTACAGAATATATAACACCCGCCTCTTCGATCAGCTTCCTATTAGTCGGGTCGCTGAGCCATGTGACCTTGAACTAAAGTTTTATGATTGATTTTAGTACTATTTAATACACTGAGGAGTGCCAGAGTAGCACTTTTGGGCAACTTGAAATATTGAAGGTCAAAGTTCACGAGATCTAAATAACAGAAACCACCCATTCTATTGCAAATGAAAGGGAGTCGGCTAACCAAAATTATGTAATAATTTGTGGTTTTATAAATATTTATTATGTTTTATTTTATGTAGGCCCGGTTCATTTATCTTCAGATAAACTTGCAACTAACTATCTGCAAGATAAATTCACCGGCGGCGGATAACTGGCCGACCAATGGGATTACATATTGCGTTTTTATCCGTTAGATTGCATACCTGACAGTTTATCACAAGGTGAATAAATCGAGTTATTTATTTTTTTGAAGGGTAAACATGTCTGAAGATACCTAGCGCTGCTTTTTTAACTGCAATCGTATTGATTCACTAGTGACTGGTGGAGTAGATCGACTAAAAAAAATTGCTAAGAGCAGTAGAGAGCGTGGTGACCCCATCCATACACAAATTGAAGCTGGTCTATACAAGATGGGAGTTTAACGAGTTTGCAATTTCACAAGGTTTGTGTAAGCAGTTATAAATCCAAGCAACATATCCAACATGTAGTAAAGAAAATAGGTGAGCAACAAACATTATTCAAGTTTGTCAAAATCGCAGTGACGAATGGGAAGATGAAGTTCGCGTACGTGTTTTGGGAGCAGCGAGTGATCTGCATGCAGCTGGTGGACGCTGCCATCTCTCATGCTATATACAAAATACATGGTCAAAATGTTAAGAGCGCATAGAACAAAGGGGTCGTTGGTATTTCAAGTAAAGAGGATGAAGGTTCTACTGTTGCCATCTCCACTATGAAAAGTAATCGTAGTCATATGTGGAATTCTGTAGAACTGTACGCTACCTCCATAAGCAACGGTGGTATAAGAAGCCGTAGAACTTCACTTTCATATCTTTTAGACTATTTTGGTAATGATTTTGTGATTCTCAGTTCATCAGGAAAAGCTAGTATCATTTGCAGCTAGTATCATTTGCAGCACAAATTCTTAATTTCGAAAATTCTGAGGATGATGACTTCAACATGTTCAGAATTGCTTCTACAATTAAATCTGAGATTAAGGCTTTTTCTGTTGGATAACTGAAGGATTACACTACACGCATTTGCATCGAGGATGCGATGGAAGCGACAAGTGAAAAGTGAAACATTGATGAGCCTCCTGATGCACATAATGCCAAAAGATGATCTGGCTCCATGTCTTATTGGAAATATTGTCCTGGAATTGTGTCAAAAACGTATAACTCTCTACAAGTGTCTTCATCACGCTTATTCATCAAGAAAAATTATTGATTTGCTGTATGGTTTTGGAATTTGTTGTAGCTATAACGAAATAATGAGGTGCAAATCCTCAGTAGTAACTACTGTTTGCTGTAACATGCAATCAGCAAACTTCAAACTACAGGGAATAAATAGCTTGAAGTCCGATTGTCTGATCCAAACGGTAGTAGACAATTTTGATATACAGATCTCCTCAGCAAATAGACTGAAATCAACACACTCCCTCGTTATGATAGTATCACAACAGTAAGGATATTGATAATGTGGAATCTGCTAATCTGCTGTTGCCATTAAACGGTTGAAAAAGGTCGAAGCTATTGGTCTCAAACTACCTGACATATAAATCCAGCATAACCATGGTAATAATAAACCACCCAAACCACCCATGCCCGACGCTGCAGCTAAAAGGTTTGTTCAGCCACTAAATCACCGCTATGAAGCTAAAAGGTTGACAGAATCTATGGGGCACGGATTTCCAGTGCTTGCGGCAGATCAACAACTTTATCGCTTAGCTATGGAAGTGTTATAGGTTCATCCAGAAAAATTTAGAAACCTCCATGTACTGTTAGGAGGAATGCATAGCCTTATGTCATTTGTTGGCTGCGTTGGGACATTAATGTCATGTTCTGGCCTAGAAGATGTGCTGCAAGGTGCGTTTGCTGGTGTTAGAGCTATGTTGGCTGGAAAAAAGTTTCTACACAATATTCGAGCATTACGCATGACCGTTGAAGAACTACTTTCAGCTTTGTTCTCTAACGAAGACATAAGTGACTTTGGTTCTTTAATGATTTTCCTGGAAAATATAGCAAGTAAGAGTATAGAACATTTGCTGTTCTACTCTTGCATTGGATAAACTGTCTAATAGAGCCACTGTTTATTATACAGGGTGGCCAATTGAAAACGAAACAGAGGTGATTTCGGGCTCCCCAAGACATTTAAGAAAAAACCCTCGTACCCGTCAATTTTTGATTTAAGGGGGAACCATTTTTTTGGTGTTTTCACCTCCTGGGGGGCAAAGCCCTAGCGGAGGTGACAAGGGCCCCCAAAATTTTAAATGGAATGAGGGGTCGAGTGATACCTTATTTTGAAGCCATTTTTATGTAGATTATAACCCCCGAGTCTCACATCGCTACTATCTACTAAGCCATTACAGGGGCTAATTAAAGTTACAAAAACATGTTGGAATATTATTATTTAAAAAAATGCTTTAAAAACAAAATCAATCAAGTAAATGCTGAAAATGACCTCAGAAGAAAAAATCTAACGGGCTTAAATCTGGAGAACGCGGGGGCCACTCAATATTGACGAGCCACTGCAGCATAATGGGTGGACGCACAATCTTGTTGGAATATAAGTGTATGCATCTGTTATCATTCTCTAGTATCTCCACCAATTCTGGATGAATCGCAACTCCTAACCACTCTAGATACATTTCTCCTGTTAAATTTATAGGTAAAAAAGGGGCCTATTTACGGTTATCAAAAATGCTAGCCCAAACACTCAAATAATCTACATCTCCATAATGCCCTAGGACGTTATTTCGTACGTATTATACCTGAAAATATTGTATGTATACCTGGAAATATTGTATTAAATAAATATTGTATTGAATATAAAAAAATTGTATTAAATAATGGAGTATAATTAAATGGTATTTTGGTTGATGTGCTACTAACCCCCTTTTTCGTTTTATTTCCTCCTCCCTCACCATTGAAAAACTCATGACCCAATTATTTATTTTCAATTAATGGAGCAGCAGTTTGTATATTTCTCTGATGAACGCTCCTTTTTTCTTGAACGGTACAGTGAATCGTCTCAACTGCCGCTAGTGGGCTAATTCAAATCCCAGAAAACATATTTCGTGAGGTACATACGCAACATCCCGAGAAATTGAGTGTTTAGGCTAGCATTTTTGGTAACCGTATAATAGACCCCTTCTTTACCTATAAATTTAACAGGAGCAATGTACCTAGAGTGATAAGAAGATGCGATTCATCCAGAATTGGTGAAGATACTAGAGAATGATAACAGATACATGGAAAACCGTCTAGTATTCCAACAAAATGGTGCGCCACCCCACTATGCTGCAGTGTTTCGTCAATATTTGGACCAAAAGTTTCCAGGACAATGGATTCGAAGGAGAGGCCCCCGCGTTCTCCAGATTTAAGCCCGTTAGATTTTTTCTTCTGAGGTCATTTTCAGCATTTACTTGATTGATTTTGTTTTTAAAGCATTTTTTTAAATAAAAATATTCCAACATGTTTTTGTAACTTTAATTAGCTCCTGTAATGGCTAGGTAGATAGTAGCGATGTGGGGGTTATAATCTACATAAAAATAGCTTCAAAATAAGGTATCACTCGACCCCTCATTCCATTTAAAATTTTGGGGGCCCTTGTCACCCCCGCTAGGGCTTTGCCCCCTAGGGGATGAAACCACCAGAAAAATGGTTCCCCCTTAAATCAAAAATCGACGGGTACGAGGGTTTTTTCTTAAATGTCTTGGGGAGCCCAAAATCACCTCTGTTTCGTTTTCAATTGGCCACCCTGTATTAATGTTCATATGAGCAGAACGCGAAGGTAACTGGCCTTTGCATTTGTGGTCGCTTGAAGCAATGATACCTTATTTTTTTGCTCCAGGGCATTGGAACTATGTTCGTTATGCATCCTATTATCTGCGAAGCATGGAACAACTGGATCCCATTCTTCATGAAAAGTTTCTGAGCGGTGAGCATGTAGCCCGTCATAATTCCGGTATATGGAATGGCATATGGACCGACTTGCTAATTGAAACAACATTTATGCGCTTTGGTAAAAGTCGTGGTGGAATAAAAGGAATAACGTTGAAATCAAATAAGGTAAAGAAGTGCATCATTGCATGTTTGTGGTCAGCTATCTAAAGATGTACAAGATATGATAGCTGCTAAAGAATCAAAGAAGGTGCATACGATTCACAAAGAGGAAAGTGCATCAAGAATTAAATCTGATGAGCAGGATAGGCAGAAAATAAGAAAAAAACTTGAAGCATGTATAAACCGTTTGGTCATTGAAGTCCACCCTGATGGTATTGTTAATATACATAGTGGCCGTATTGGAAACACGGAAGTAAATGTGGATGATGACGTATGCCACGGAGAAAACCAATGACAAAAATTTGAGGAATCGCTGCTGAAAGGATTTCATGTTTCTTCGAAAAAGAAAGTTGTCACTTTGTCGAATGTAATCTGTGGTCAAATGACAAGCAACATATGTATGTTCGGTTGGTTCCACAAACGAGTATCTACCGGTCTGGCAAGTGATCATCTTACAGGCCAATTTTAATGGAATAGAATGAAATGTCTAGAAAAAGTCTAAGGTTATAGAGAACGAAATCGATTTCCCCTGTTCCACCTTCAGCATTCTTAGCGCTGTATGCTGGAGGTGGAAAAGGGGAAATCGTTTTCGTTCTCTTAGACTTTTTCTAGACATTTCATTCTATTGCATTAAAATTGGCCCGTAACTTGCTGACTTGCCAGACCTGTAAAATACAGAGGCTATCTACGCACATGCCCTACAACTAATGACACGTAATGTTGAAATATGCAGCCTTTCAACTATGTTTGGTGATGAATTGTCACCATTCCCGTCAGCACTATTTGATAAATTTGGGGACATCAATCCGTCCTCCCAGAAATCACAGTTAATGAATCAATTGAGAATACAGATCTCGTCTAGGGGGAAATTTGTGAATGCCTTGATTATATAGATGCTAGTGCTTTTTTGTGGCATGTTCATGGGCCAAAAGTTGGCACATTACAAGCTTCTTTTGACAATGCGATTGCAGTGATCATGAAGCACGTTGAAGAACAGGACACATCTTGTATTTGATAGGTACTTCGAGTACAGTCCAAAGACTGCAAGGCGGTGAGAAATAGGAGTTAACAGTACTTCCATGCAACTAAGTACAACTAACAACCATAATTTGTAATCAACTACTACAACCTAGTGAGACTCTTCCACACAAGTTAGTCATTACTGGTACTGATACAATCCCAATTGAATTACAAACTCTTGGCGTTGTAACTCCTCGCTCGGATTTGGAAACTCACCAGCAGACAGCAGACCTTATAATTGTACAGCAGGTTATTTGTCTGTCAAGGTGTGCAACTAATAATGTCAAGATTCTTTCTGATGACACCGACGTTTTTGTGTTCTGCTTGTACACTTTTACAAAAAGCTAAATCTTAAATGCGCTATGTGGATGGAGTCTGTTGAGACAAGGTCGCGTTCTCAGATATAGCAGCAACAGTTTATAATCTGGGAACCCAAGCAAACTCATTGTTAGCAGTGCATTGTCTCACTGATTGTGATAGCAACAATTTTTTGGAATTGGAAAGTCTGCTGTACAAGTTCTGAGATTTGGTATTGAAATTAAACATTTAGGTTGTGTAGAATGTTCAATGCAACAGTGTATAGCAGAGTGTACAAGCTTTATTGCACATTTCTATGGCTACAAGAAGGAAGTTCACAAGATGTCAGATGTTTGATATAAAGTGGGGTTATCTAAGAAAATTCCTCCTAAAATTAAGAAACTCCCTCCGACAACAGAGGCATTTGATCTACATATAAAACGATGCCATTTGCAAGCTTGCATTTGGAACGCAGCAGTATCTCCGTTCCCTCCACCTTTGAATCCAACTGACTATGGATGGGCAAATAATGAAGCAACATACTCTGGTACCCATACAGCTTCCAAGTAACAAAGGGTAGGCACCACTAGAATTGCTGAAAAGCTTAAGATGTAGCTGTTCAAGTGAGAAGCCATGGTCAACAGCACGGTGCAGTTGTACACATGTAGGTCTGCCTTGTAACTGCTTGAATATTCTGTTATCTGATACTTATGCATTCTGTTAATATTCTGTAATTAAACTTAAATAAAACTCGAGATAAAACTAGATACTTTTTATCCATCTATTAATTTTTTTACCTACATCACAACAATAGCTATCTTATAGTGTTCAGTGTTTCAAAAGTAGACTATGCGCTATATTACATCACATATTAAACATTTCTTGAACTTCAAATATTTCATTCTGGTTAAACGACGCCCATTTTCTCATTTGGGCCCAACATACATATATCCTATTCACAAATCGATGTCCACAGGTACAGGTGAATTTATCACCTTTCCCTATCAAATAGCATTGAAAGGTGATTAATTTTACCTGTACCTGTGGACATCGGATTGTGAATGGATAATATTCATATTAGGCTCTATTCCAACCGACATTGAGGACCGTTGCAAAACCAGTAATTTCCAGTTTCCCACCAATTTTGCAATAAGTTGAACGTTTATCCTACTTCACAAATGAATTGATCGACTGGAAATTATTCTGGTTATCCGGTTCTCATGTCGGTTGAAACAGAGCAACTTGCAAGAAGTGGCTTATTTGTATTTGTGCTTTTTGGCCAGTGGCCACTCATAGAAAAAAAGTATCACTTCAGCACTTGTTATATAAATAGCTAAAAAATGTTTTTTTTTCTATAGCCAGGTACATACAATCCCCAAGTGGAAGCTATTTCGCCGACATTACCGGAACAGATCTCGCAAGAAGATCAAGCCTTCAAGACGACAAAGGACGAGCTGATTCAACAGATCAGTAAAGTAGACAGGGAAATCTTGAAGGTGGAACAGCAGATAGTAATTTTGAAGAAAAAGCAAGCAGAGCTGGAAGAAGTTGCGAGCAAGCCCAGTGAGAAAAACGAAGTTGAAGAGGACACGCAGCCGAAACATCAGAGTCTGCCTCAGAAGATATACGCCGAGAACAGAAAAAAGGCGCAAAGTGCGCACGCACTTCTCGATACGGTGGGGCCAAAGGTGGAGTGGCCCATCTACAATCAACCGACTGATACTACGATTTTTCATGAAAATAACCGACGAAATGTGATGTTTAAAAAACGCTTATTAGAATATTTTAAGAAAAAGCAGTCTGAGAGGCATGAAAGGTAAGAACTTACTAATAAAACTCAAAACATATTAATGACTATAAATATTTTCAGAAACAATCAGTTATCGGCAACGTATAGTAAATTGATGCAAGAATGGCTCAGAAAAGTAGATAAAATCGAGTCTAGCACCAAACGGAAAGGGAAAGAAGCTAAAAATAGGGAGTTCTTTGAGAAAATCTTTCCTGAAGTGAGGAGGCAGCGTGAAAACAAAGAAAGGTTTAACAGGGTAGGTTCCCGAGTGAAATCGGAAGCCGATTTGGAAGAGATTATGGATAATCTTCAAGAACAAGCCATGGAGGACAAAAAAATGCGCAGCTACGCAGTGATACCGCCCATACTTTTGGATCCCAAGGAAAGGCGGATAAAGTATACTAATAACAACAATTTTGTAGAAGATATGGAATCTGTGTACAAGGTAAGATTTTGTTTTTATTACCAAGGGCATCATCAAAACCTGCTATTAAAGTTTTCTTACTACCTACCACTTGCCTGGATAGGTTTATTTACACACACCGGCAAAATTAGGGGAACAGGCAAAATTTACACTAAGTTTGACATAAATTTTCTCTTGAACACCCTCCTCTCGATGATTTTGATGAATTTTTCAGATTGTAGCTTGATTCTTCAGGAATACATCTGACATATTACCGTTATTAAATGATTCGTCTTTATATCATATATAGGGATGGAAAGAGATTGAGACACCCTGTGGAGTAAACCACTGGAAATTCAGAACAGTTTTCAACCCCAAATTGTAGCCTGATCTTTTCCGAACATTTTCATTTTTTATTCACTCTAATATCTTCAATATTATTGAAAATACAGAGTTTTGAAGAAAAGGTGGATATTGACCCTAATTTTCTCCACGTCGACAATATGTACGAATTGGATATGAAAATGAGTCGTTTTCCAACTTAAAGTCGTGTGTGTGAATTTTATTCATATATTTATTTATTTACGGGAAAACCCCATTAACAGTTTACAAATAACAAAATATAAAGTTATGGATATGGATAAGACATAAAAAAATTCTAAACTAAATAAAACAACCCCTCTCAATACTAGTCCATTAGGTGCCGGTACTTTTGCTCTCATTTGACAGCCGTTAAAAATGATCAGGGATTAGAATGTGCTCTAACCACATCATACTTATAGACCTTGGCCCATGCAAAACTTTGACAACATATCAAATTCGTTAATCGAGAGCAAAAGTATTGGCCCTAGATATACTGAGCAAAACTACAACCATAACCTAAAGAGCACAGAAGCCTAAAAAGTGACACCATTAAATTGCTTTTTAAATTCTCTCAAAGATATACCAAATATTTTAATGTGATGGTCATTAACAACTCCAGAGTACTTATCCATAGGCATATTAAAACTGTCAAGGTGAAAATTCGTGATTTTACTTGAACAAATAGTAATAAATTCGATTATATCCTACCGATGTCTGTTGAGGGGTAAATTGAAAAAGTCCTAAGCCTTGGTTAAGTGTGAAGAGAGAGTTTAGTTTACATAAATAACATTCCACCAAATGGAAATCATGAAAGGGAATTTCTGATCCTCCTGTATATTTGTGAGCATTCTTTTCACAATAAATTGATTGGTACGAGGTAAAACTGCGAGCAATATTTGACTTGAAGTAAACATTCACATACACGATTTGAAGTTGGAAAACGACACATTTTCATATCCAATTCGTATGTCGACGTGGAGAAAATTAGGGTCAATATCCGCCTTCTCTTCGAAACTCTGTATTTTCAATAATATTGGAAATATCAGAGTAAATAAAAAATGAAAATGTTCGGAAAATATCAGACTACAATTTGGTGTTGAAAACTCTTCTGAATTTCCAGTAGTTCACTCCACACGGTGTCTCAAAAAACTCTGAACATTACTGACTTTCTTTTCATCCCTGTATATGATATAAAGACGAATCATTTAATAACGATAATACGTCAGATGTATTCCTGAAGAATCAAGCTACAATCTGTGAAAAATTCATCGAAATTGAGCGGAGGGTTCAAGAAAAAATGGATGTCCAACAGTGTAAGTTTTGTCTGTTCCCCTAATTTTGATGGTGTGTATATTTATTCATTTAGATAGCAAAAGCAAAAGTTTCAAACTTAATTAGCAGTAATAAATCACTGTTACAGTTATAGAAAGCATGACTTGGAAATTAAATTTCAAATTAACCCAATCTAAGCTAATTTCCATCAAAATGCATTTGAAGGAAGATGGCTAACCTTGTATCTACAAACGAAAGTTTCTTATTATTGAGGGCTTATAGAAGCACTCTAGGCGCTATTACTTGCTACTCAGATTAAGAGATACTGTATTGAAATCAAAACAAGAATAATAATACCCTTGTCTTACCAGGCTTGAATTGTTCTGAAATTTGGTAGCAAATATTGCTCCGGCCTGCGAATGCGAAACTGATTTTGGAGGCGGTGAAAACCAGAAATCTACTGGCAGGGTTGTAAGATCATATTATATTAATAAACCAATTAAATTGGGGATATCTTTTAAATGAATAATTACCATTCATAAGCCTTCTGAATTTGGCGAGGATTTTGGTTACTAGACAATTTTTTTTTAAACACACACAAACCAAATTCATTGAAAGAAGATCACAATAAAGATCTGTTTTTAGAAGAGTGGATAATTTGAAATAATCAGCCTTGAAAATTCCAATTTTCCCAGCTGCCTCATCAATATACCAAGATCAAAAGCTTAGTACAATCAAAAATGATAACATCAAGTTGATTTTAACTAATTCGAAGCATCTGAATCGATCTGAGTACACACAGTTACCTTGACTTTTATGTATGTGATATAAAATCATCTTGGCATGGAAGTATTCCAAAAATTATAATCTCATCAGTGCAAACTGCATTCTATTCCAAAAATGATAATATTAAATAAATATTCCTGATTTTTTTTTTTTTAGAGTCGCCAGTATCTCAATATTTGGACGGCAGGCGAAAAAGAAACCTTCAAAGACAAATACCTCCAACATCCAAAGAACTTCTACCAAATAAGCCAGGCGTTGGGTGAAAGAAAAACGGTATCGGAGTGCGTTCAGCACTATTATCTCAGCAAAAAAACGGAAAACTACAAGCAGTTACTGAGAAAGAACAAAAGGGACAAATTACGTGAGAAATTACGGGAGAAATTTCGCCAGTCTAGGGGGTCAGGGAAGGTTAATAGTACGGCGAATTTGTCGGTGGTGGATACTTTGACGACAGGTGAGGTTTTATTTAATTGCTTCCAAGCAGATTTAGAAGTTTCTCACCTCTAGGTGTAACAACGAGGCTCCAACGCGAGCAAATGCAACGCACCGAAGGTTCTGCACGATCCTCTGAGGCTTCTACTTCAGCGGCGGCAGCAGTTTCTGCAGAAACCTCTACTGCGAATGCAAATTCTTCACCTCCACCTCCAGCAGTTGGTACAACAGCTACGCCTAGTCCTTTGAATGTGGGTGCCACCACAACCACTAGTACTACGTCATTAACTTCGACTAGTAATACGGCTACTGCGTCGACTGCTGATTGGACTGCTGGGACTACCACAACTTCCACAGCACAGGTAATTTTTTTTGAGCGATCCTGGTAGGTTGCTATTAAAATATTGATTTTTTTACACTGCCATCTCTGGAAGGGAGCTGTAAGCGCATAAATCAATGTTTTTGCGCAAATGGTATTTGATAGGATATTTATTGATTGAACATTCCCAATCCAGCAGATGTCTCCACTATTTTCAGTTTTATCATAAAAACAAAATACTTTGAGTGAACACTTGTTAGCCATTTTATTTATTACAGTTAATTCATGCAGTTCTGATTTATACCGTGTACCATGAGAGCTAGTTAGAAATACATAATAGAATTACTCTGCTGAATATATCCAAATCAAATCATTTATTTCGTGCCATTTACACTTATGTGTTTACACATCGTCGCCCTAGTTGTGAATGGTCGTAATCCACACAATGTTCATTCTTGAGTTGTGACTGTTAATACTCTTAACATGCATACTTAAAAATGTTTAAATTTCATGTTGGTGAATAGATCTAAGCCAGTGATCAATATTTGACCTTGTTATAGTATATTTGCTAATTAAAAAGCATATTTTCACCACAAACAAAAATTTTAAATGCAGTTTACTCACAACTTACCTTGAGTGGATTACAACCATTCACAACTAGGGCGACGACATGTTAAAAAAATATGTAGTAGTATATTTCATTTAAAAAAAAAGATTTCACAAAGTAGCTTAAAATTTACAATTAACACTTTCTTAAATATTATATTATTATCACAATTTAAAATACATTCAAACACATTAAAATAATATAGAAATTAAAACACTTTAAAATATACATTAAAATACATCAGACATAATACAAACATTAGGTTAAGACGGCATTAAAAAACTGTTGGAGCACCTAATTCTATTTATCACAGTGATAGCAATTTATTTCCTACCCAAACAGTGTGGAGTTGCTGAATTCTTCTATTGAATAAAATGCCCATTCAATTAGCAAGTCTTTAACTTTCCTCTCAAATTGGATTCTGCTAAGATTTTTTAGGGGTACTCGAATTTTATTGAAGAAATTTATAGAATGATATCCAGGGCCATTTTGACACCTATGTAAACGATGGTAAATAGGTTGTAGGTTATTTTTATTTCTTGTGTCATAATCATGAACATCACTATGCCAGATAAATCTGTCATGACCGTCCCTGACATACAATCATCTCTGTATTTCAACCCTGCTATTATTCTTATGATTCGCCTTTGCAAGGCAAAGTCTCTGCGGGAACCGCTTGATTGGCCCCAAACTAATAGTGCATAACTTAAGTGTGAATGGAAGATAGAAAAGTAAGCTTGTTTTAGGATTTCAGGAGAAAAACACAATGACAAATTTCTCAGAACAAATGCATTTTTGCTTAGTTTATTGGGTGTCATTTCGGTATGGGCATCCCACAGTAATTTCTGATCTAGTCAAACTCCGAGAAACTTGGCACTGCCAGTCACTGCCTCAGTTCTTTTCAGTGAAAAAACGAAGTTTTGTGTCATGGATTCGTTTAGGAAAAGTTTATTTGCTGAGAACCATTTCCTAGCTCTCGACTGTGCCTCCCCCGACATTTCAGTGGCAATCAGTAGGTCAGTGTGGTTGGTTTGTGCAGTGGTGTCATCTGCAAAGTTGTAATAGATTTCATCCAAAGCAATTTTGGGAAGATCATTTATGTAAAGCAAAAACAATATTGGTCCCAAGATTGATCCCTGTGGTACACCAAAATTGATTTGCTGTTTCTCTGATACTGTGTTATTAAAATTAACAATTTGTTGGCGATTTGTTAAGTACGACTTTATCAGTTTTATGCTGTTATTTGAAAATTTGTAGTAGGGTAATTTGTTTAGTGAAATGTCGTGAGAAACACAGTCGAAAGCCTTGCTCAGGTCACAGAAAGTAGACACTATGTACTGAGAACTCTCAAAACCTTCCATTATATTCTCAACCACCCCCAAAACTGCCAAAGTCGTATTTCTTCCCTCTCTAAAACCAAACTGATTTGCATTTAGGAATCCTCCATTTTCCATATGTTCAGACATTTGGATTTTAAGACATTTTCCAACAGTTTTTGATATGGAGGGCAGAAGAGATATGGGTCTGTAGCTCCCAGGATCGTTAGCTTCCCCTTTTTAATATATAGGTGCGACTCTGGCAATTTTTAGGCAATCTGGGAATGTATTTTGTTTGATACACACGCTGATCAACTTTGTCAATGGTAAAAGCAACAAATTCTTGACACCCTTTATCAAGTTGATATTAAGATTATAGACGTCTCTGCTAGTCTTGTTTGTTAGGCCGTCAAGTCAAGTTTTTATTGCCTCTCTATAATCATTTCGAAAATTTTGAATATAAGCTTTGAGTTGGTTATTGGGGAAGTGTTTGTAAAGATCATTCAGATACTGCAAATGTTCACGCATGTTTTTTAAATCATGGCTAAACCAGTCAAAATTATTTGTATGAGGTGCTTTAACTTTACATATTTTTAAGTCACTGTATGTAGTGCACCAAGTTGGGCAGAGATGGAAACTTAATACATCAACCCGATTTTTGAAGCGGTTTGTTCCATTCACCTCACCCTAGCCAAAAGAATTCCATTGATAAACAATTATGCATATTGCTTAGGAAATTCTTCCTGGCTATTTGAGGCTTGGAGCATGGATACTCGTGATTATTTTAAAAGTTTCTATTAAGTTTCCTGTGATCTAACACATACTTCCATTTCTTTTGTCTGGTAAGTCTTACATTTTTAGGGCCACCTGCTTACTGCTATTGCTGATGATGCTAGAGTTTGGTAGATCAGTGCTTTTGGCAGTATTGAAGTTACAACTTTCCCACCCGATGTCTGCTGAGACTGTATCCCCTAGATCTCGTTTTCTGCTAAAATAGCTTCTTTTTCTATGCAGCTTCAAGTACAATAATTAATGTATTGTTTTATTGTTCCAATAGTAGACAGATTAATCGATATAACTTTTGATTACGTCTTTTTACACATAGTTTTAGACTAACTTTCAAACTTATTTGTTTTGCAGTTTCTCTCACAGTTCAATTCTATCAATTTACGTGTTTTTCACAGATTTCAGATTTCAGATAAGCCTTTGCTACTGATTGAAGTTTACCAATTGATCTGCTAGGTTTCTGTTTTCATTATCCAATGACACTTTGAACAAGTTTATAGTTGGTTTATTAACAGTTGTCTCACTCAGGGCATTCCATGTGTATACTATGCTGTTTGAAATAAAGTTTTTTCTTGGCAGCCTGTTGTTTTTTTCTTATACAGTTTTTTGGTGTGGCCTAAGAGTTGGTTAAATTGGCTTCACCGAAATAGATACATTTCACAGGTGTAGCTATTGTTTAAAATTTTGAAGGCTTCAATTATATCTCCTCTGGATCATCTTTCTCTTAGTGTTGGTAAACCAAATATTTTTAACCTTTAAGGATAGGGCAGATCTCCTAATTCCGGTGGTATTTGGGTAACTTTAAAGGCCGGGACACATCTATCATACATTCTTCCGATCCGACTCCGATCATACAATCAGGGTCCTTAAGGCGGAAACCCACTAGCAACACGCCACGTCATGCTTCGCCACGCCACGCCATGTGACGAAAATGTATGCGTATATTCTTCCATTTATTTATATGTGCTGCGTACACACTTGCCATACGCGATACCACGCCATGGCACGCCACGCCATCCGTCCATTTGCACACAAACTGTCCCACGTGAACCTGTGTCACATGGCGTGGGGTGGCGTGGCGTGTTGCTAGTGAGTTTCGGCCTTTATTCTTGGAACAGAGAGCAGTGTTCCCAGGCGTTCTCCTGGGAGCGCTGCTCGCCTATTCCAACAATAAGGACCTTGATTGTATGATCGGAGTCGGATCGGAAGAATGTATGATAGATGTGTCCCGGCCTTAAGGCTGTACCCTTTCCAGCAATTCAATGTCACCAACAAAGTAAGGATTCCATAATGAGTGCAAATTCAAGTTTAGGCCCTATGTAGGTTATGTAGAGTTTGGCATTTGGGTCATTGATATCAACCCTACCAAGTTTTGTTGATATTGAAAGTCAAATAAAAAAATGGCAGCCCGAAAGTAATTTCGTGAGCACCCGGTATATTATGGAATTTCCCTTCTTGATAATTTTATTTATGTTGGGTTCCCATTTAAGGTCACTCGTTATAATAACTCCAGATTCTTTTTGTTGATTTGTATGCTGCAGGGAAACTTCATTTAGATAGTAGGTAGTTTGTGGGTTTTTTGGGCCTATACTTAGTGTAGTGCACTTTTTCACATTCAGTTTCATCTTCCAGGTATCTGTCCAGTTTTCAATCTCCTCTGTAGGTTGTTAGCATTTGTCAATGGGCTTGTGTACAGCTTTGCATCATCAGCAAAAAAAAAGATATTGGGGAAGTTATTTTATTTTGGAGGTCACTTATATAGATCAGAAATAAGAGTGGTCCCAATACCAATCCCTGGGACACTCCGTTCACTACCCTGTGTTCCTGCGACAGGATTCCATTTGCTCTGAACCAGTAGCCTTAGAAAACACCTAGTGAGCCTCAGTAAACTGCCCCCAACACCATAGTACTCCAGTTTAGTCAAAATTCTTCTGTAGGGAACCTTGTCGAATGCTTTTTCATAGTCCAAATATATAATATCAAAATTCCTAGTCCAATCATCTAAGCATAAAAGAAGGTTTGTTGTAACGGACCTCCCACTGAGGAAACCATGTTGGGTGCATGGAATTATGTAATGTTCGGTTAGAAAGGTGGTTAGGTGTTTCACAATAACTCGTTCCAGATATTTGCACTGGTGACTTGTTAGGCTTATCAGTCTGTAGTTGTTGGCACTGCATTTATTTCCACTCTTATAGATGGGAATTACAATAGCTTTCTTCCAAGCAGGTGGTAGAGTTCCCGATTTTATGCAGTAGTTAAAAATATTTGCCATAGGCTGCGCGCAATATGGTCAATATAGTTTTCAAGAAAAATTGGTGGAAGGTTATCAGGTCCTGGGCTTGAGTCAGGTTTTAAGCGTCAAATAGCTTCTTTTACTTTCAACTGTGGCAGACTTTCATCGTCCAGCTCCTAAGTGTAGTCACTAGCAAATTTATCAGCAGAAAGGATAACGCACGCCTAACATGGGATTTTTGGGCTCTATGGATTTCTGCCATTTTTTGATATGTTGTAGAGGATTTAATTCTGAACAACCTTTAAATGGGACGAAATCTTGTAGGTATTACGGCCTTTGAGATATGAGCGTTGAAAGATGAACTTTCTTGCGACTTTTTGTGTGGAGAGCATAGAAAAGTGATTTATATTCTGATATAGAACGCTCACTTCTGTTGTAGTCGCCAAGTGACATTTACAACGGTGCTGCCATAGTGGTGTAGTCATTGAACTAATATTTGGCGGGCCGTTTGAATCTCGGTTTTAAATTAATGGTTTGACATTTCAATTATTTCAAAATAAGGCAGTGCTTCAAAACTAAAATTTTATACATTTTATTTTCATATATTTATGTGAGAATCCCTTAATGAATAAAATAATCTATAATCTATTCATAGATGATCTGGCGTATCTGACCCATGAACTGACTGAAACACTTTCCAATCTGCTTTTTGAAAATGTCCATTTTTCCAGTTGAAAGGCTGTCATATTTGATCAAGTTATTAATAATTCCCTCGAGCATGTATGGAGCATCATACAGTGACACGATTTCTAGGTTGTTTATCTCCAACAAAACCAAAATTTATGTTTCTGTGTTGTTTTTGATGTAAATTTCCCTGGTCTGTGGCTGCAATTCGCTTTTGACCGATTTTTTTTTTGCCTCCTGGTCACACACTGTGGCAACAACTCTTAAACTGGCTGCTTATGATGATGCACTTATCACTTCTTTCACAGTCTTGGAATTCGAAACAATCATCGACGATGCACTCAACAAATTAATTCAGATGATAAGATGACATTTGCATTATGATATTAAATGGACACCTGCATTTTTATGACTGGTTTTTATATACACGATTCTATGTCGGTCATTGTCATTTTCTATTCACTAAAAAAAGATAGCTAACTCATCGGTGAAGTTAGAGATTAGAATAAAAACGAGAGGGACGTTAAGAAACGGCGATATGGGCGCACAGCGGTGTAGTCACGAACTAAAACAAAAAGTGGAGGGGATGAATCCAGTGAATGTTCTATTTAAGAATTTATAAATCACTTTTCTATGGTGGAGAGTATACGAGATACTGGTGCTACTGGTATTTATCAGTCAAAATATTGACAGGTTTACATATTTTACGTCACTTAAAAACAGGGTTGGCATGATTTAAATCAAATGATTTAAATCACGATTTAAATCATGATTTAAATCAAGTGATTTTTTTGAAAAAAATCAATGATTTAAATCGATTTTTAGAAATTGAAAATATATTCGTTTATTTTGATACATATTATACTTATATAAATGGGATAACCAAAGAGGATTTAGTAATTATTAAGAAATTTCTGACTACAATACCATCCTCGGCTGGGGTAGAGAGAATATTTTCAACATACATATGTATTATAATCTGCCATAATGATTCGAGAAATCGACTTGGTAATTAAAAGGCCGCAAAGCTGGTATATTAAAAAATCGGAATATTTTTTTTTTATAAAAGTAGTATTATTTTCATTTTTTACAAAAGAATTATTTATTTATTAATAAACATTAATAAATTTTTATTTTTATTATACTTTATATAAGTACCTACTCTTATTATGTACTCATGGACAAAATTATCGTACCACTGCTTTTGTGGTGCTTATGTGCAGTGGTGCGATAATTTTGTCTAGGAGTAGGTATACTATATTTACTGCATCATTCATTGTTGAAACCAAATTACCAATAATTGATCAAAAATTAATAAAGCCGTTTAATTCTTAAAAATTGAAAAAAATCCGATTTAAATCAAAAAAATCTGATTTAAATCAAAAAATCTGATTTTTTGATTTTTTCAAAAAAATCATGATTTTTTCCAACCCTGCTTAAAAATTAATGTCAACATAGGTTAAGGACGAGACCGCACTGGGGTCAATGTTGGCGCCAGTGCGGTCCCGGCCTTAGCCTATGTTGACATTTGTTAGTGACGTGAAATATGCCGACCTGTCAAAATTTTGACTGATAAACACCAGTTTTTCATATGCTCTTCACACAAAAAGTCGCAAAAAAGTTCATCTTTCAAAGCTCATATCTCAAAGACCGTAACACCTACAAGATTTCTTTCCATTTAAAGGTTGTTAAGAATTAAATCCTCTACAACATATCAAAAAATGGGCAAAATCCATAGAGCCCAAAAATCCCATGTTAGGTGTGCGTTATCCTTTCGGCAATATGTTGGTTGGATGTTATTTTATCCCCGGTCGCTTCATCTACAAGCTTTAATTTAGATGTTTTAGATGACAGATTTTCACCATAGAAAAGTGATTTATATTCTTGATATAGAACGCTCACTTCTGTTGTAGTCGCCAAGTGACATTTCCGACGGTGCTGCCATAGCGGTGTAGTCATTGAACTAATATTTGGCGGGCCGTTTGAATCTAGGTTTTAAATGACTGGTTTGACATTCTAATTATTTCAAAATAAGGCAATGCTTCAAAACTTCATAAACTAAAATTTTATACATTTTATTTTCATATATTTATGTGAGAATCACTTAATGAATAAAATAGTCTAAAATCTATTCATAGATGATCTGGCGTATCTGACTCATGAGCTGACTGAAACACTTTCCAATCTGCTTTTTGAAAATGTCCATTTTTCCAGTTAAAAGGCTGTCATATTTGATCAAGTTATTTATAATTTCCCCGAGCATCTATGGAGCATCATACAGTGACACTATTTCTAGGTTGTTTATCGCCAACAAAACCAAAATTTCTGTTTCTGTGTTGTTTTTGATGTGGATTTCCCTGGTGTATAGCTGCAATTCGCTTTTTGCCGATTCATTTTTTGCTGCCTGGTCACACACTGCGACAACTCTTAAACCGGCTGCTTATGATGATGCACTTTATCACTTCTTTCAAAGTCTTGAAATTCAAAACAATCAACGACGATGCACTCAACAAATTAATTCTGATGACAACAGAGATGTTGACAAGATGACATTTGCATTATGATGTTAAATGGACACCTGCGTTTTTATGACTGGTTTTAATATACACGATTCTATGTCGGTCATTGTCATTTTCTATTCACTAAACAAAGATAGCTAACTCATCGGTGAAGTAATAGATTAGAATAAAAATGAGGGGGACGTTGAGAAACGGCGATATGGGCGCACAGCGGTGTAGTCACGAACTAAAACAAAAAGTGGAGGGGATGAATCCAGTGAATGTTCTATTTAAAGGGGGTGTGCGCCAAAAAAACAACTTCATCTCAAAAAAAAAGAGAAAAAAAATATAAGAATAACAGTTAAATCCGCACCCCTCTATGACAAATAATACCGCAGATATGGCTCTATGAAGGTACCGCATCTCACCCTATGACGTCACGAAAGCTCAAGCGACGCACGAGAAAGTGGATTTAATTAAATTAACATAATGTTTTTCCTGTGTTACCTGCAATAATCTAAACAAAAACCACTCACGCGTGCCGGGAACAATCAAATTAACAATGCAGAGCGCCGCTGGACGAAGTTTTCGTGACGTCACGAGAGCGTCGTCCACACTTTAAAGCGGTATATCTCAGCGATGGTTTATCGTAGAATAACGAGGTTTGAACAGTTATTCTTAGATTTTTTTACACTAAAACTTTAATTTTTGGCGCACACCCCCTTTAAGAATTTATAAATCACTTTTCTATGATTTTCACTGACAGACATATGTTTTGTCGCCTGTGCTGTTAAAAGGCCTTTTTCGTAGTTCATTATTGCAGTGTTTAGTTTGCATTTAAGGGTGTTATTTTGTTATTGGTATGCTCTGTAGTCCTTAGTCTTTCTACTACGACTATATTTGTTCCACAATTTGCATTTTTTTGTAATTTCGGTAAACAGGTGAGGGCGAGGGTGAGGGTCAATGCATGGTTTTGAACGGTCAAGAGTTTCCAATGGCGCCAGGCTGCTTATTACTGTATTTATGATATTGTCATAATATGTCCGTTTTGCTTTTGTAGGAAAGTTTTTATTTTATCATAGTCAGCTGAACAGAACTTTCTTTTTTCAATTTTTTTGGTTGGTCTGATTGAGCAGTGTAATTGAGCTTTTGCGCATATCACTAAATGGTCGCTTAGACCAAGAAGTGGATCACATTTTAGCCTGCAGTTGGCAGCAGGCTTCAATATTTTGTTATTAGTCTACTGTATTGATACTTGTATGCATCTTCAATCTGGAGCCTCTTATGCTCGTCATATATCCGACATTGAACTTGTCCAACGAAAGCTTCTTTCAAACTATTGACCAAGATTCATGTGGGATTCTGGATATTTTCAAAAAGGAGAGAGATCTTCCTTCTCTGGAACTGATTGTTTCACTATAGTTTTTTGACAAGAATCAATTATTCATGTCCTTTCTCTGTCCAAAATAATTATGATATTCTCACCTGTATTAAAATGTTCTAATAAATTAATGGGGGAAAATCCATAAATAAACTAGAAATAAAATTTGGTGTCGTCTGCAAACAAGACCAAGGCCGGCAACATACTTTTCTTTTATTCTTGTTGGAATGGTATTAATTGAAAAGCTTTGCAATTTCCAAGCTAGGTGGCTGGGGCTCTACATACTAGTTGTCCAATAATATTGTGTTAAATTCAACAATTTATTTACATGTTTATCTTTTCTAGATGCCGTCACAATCTATTACAACAACCACTAGTTCGACAGTGACGACAACAACTACAATGTCCTCTAGCAATTCCTCGTCTGTGATTTTAGTATCCTCGCCCTCTCCAATGTCAACATCGAGTACTACATGTCTGACAACATCCACAACGGTCTCAATAACGACTTCAGTCTCTACCCCTATGGAAGCTACATCCAATAATGTGGGTAAAGAAGCGTCGACAAACAACAAAGATGTGTCAAACTTTAATGATTTTAATAATTCTTCTGAGGATTTTAATAGGTAAGCTTAATTGGTAAAAATTTTTGCTTTGCATTGAAAAATTTTGGTTTCAGGAAAAAGTTTTTCGGGGAAAACTCTGCTAGTGCTAGTGTGACTGAAAAAGATGGAGATTTATTCGTTGTAGAGCAAAAAGATAAAGAAAGTAGCGAAGAGAAAAAAGATGGAGATAGTATGTCTGCAGCAAGTGATGTTGTATGGTAAGTGTGAATTTTTTCAAACTCAACTAACACAATAGGGTTGCTATCGGGTCTTAAAAAAAAAAACCAATCAAAGATTGCTTTGGTTACGAAAACGTACGTCGTATTATTGTTTCTTTATTGGTCAGGATTTTTGACATGACATTTTGACATTAAATTCCATTGACTGACATTGTCAAAATTAAAGGAAAATAGTGCTAAGACATACGTTTAAAAAACTATAGCAATCTTTGATTGGTTTTTTTTTTGAAGACCCGATACGATACAAACTGCACAAAGTGAATACCTACTTATTTAGGCGTTTCTTCTCAGCATAATTCAACTTAATCCCTTTTAAAAACAAAATCAAATAATCAAAATTATTGGACGGGCCCAGTTCGCTTACAGTTTGGTGCCAGCGCCCAGTACGATTTTCAAACAATTTCAGCTTAATCAAAGTATCAATTTGCAAAATTGATATGTAAGTTTATTCCGATAATTGTGTGCTCAGCATTAATGTTACTGCAGGGGGCATATTCCTATGGGTAAAGCTTTACTTTTCGAACAGGGACGAACTGGATCCTGATTTTATTGAGAGTTTTTTTAAATGCTGCCAACTTTTCCAGAAGCTGTATTTGAATGATCATTGTTTTTTGTAAGTTGGAATTTATTCTCCAGGTCCTTTCAAATGTTGAAAAATTTGTTTTGAAAATCTTTTTAAGAGTCTTAAAATATAAACTAAGGGCCGGTATTTCAATGTTAGCTTAAAATCAAGACTTACTTAAGGTACTCTTAACTTTAACGTGAACTTGGAATGAGTTCATTTAGGTGGCTTAAGATCCACCTTTAATTAAGGAAACTTTGATATACAGTGAAATTTGTTCTTAACGTTATTCTGTACCTCAAGGTGACTTTGAAATACTGGCCCTTAGACTTCAGACATATTGGTCTTAAGAGCCAGTGTATTTTCCCCTCGATTGTGAAAAGAACCAAACTTTGGCAGAACCCTTTCTTTTGTAGTTAAACTGTAATTGATTGTTACCTGATATTTATGGCGCAGGCTTGATCAAAATTTATTTATTTTTGGAACCTGGCCCATTTTTTTTAAAGAAAATTACACACTCAGGCTCACATGACGATTTCACATATAATTTTGGAACCACTTGAGCAAGTCTTCAAAAATCACAATAACACGAATTGTAATGTAATTGACGTTATCAAAGGCCTTGGAGAAGTCCGTGCTGATGCGGCTGATGGACTGCTAGCTCTCCAAGCATTCCAACACGAAGTTGACATAAGGCCAACCTTCATTCAGGACAGTTCTTCTCAAGAAAACCTTATTTCTGATTCATAATCAAACCCATTGACCTCTAACCAAGGATAGACATTACAACCTTTTTCTAATCGAAATCATTATACCACCCTGGTATTTACATACAATACTACGCCATTGCCATATTGACAGAAAATAATAATATTGGGACGTAAATTAAAATTGTGATCACAGTTTGTATGATTTTCTGAACAAGTTTGAATAACTAATACACCGATAAACGGTTTTCTCTGATCATCATATTGTCCTTTCCGAATTTGGGTATTTGAAGAAACTTAGGAAAATCCATGCGAAAACAGTAACCATCCTCGAAGAAGCCACTCTACAAATCAAACCGGCAACACTGTTGGAGTATCCTACACATTTTTGATTCATTTTTGGTAAAGAACATTAGCGCGGTTGCCAAGTCAATAATTGTTGTTTTTAGCTTGCTCATGGAGTTTATGGCAAGGTCGCTCGGAAGCGATGTTGCCAAAACAAGATAAATAATTTTTCTCAAGCTCTAATTCCTGATTATTGGCGGAGTAATTTAGTGAATGACTTGTGGTGTCTATCCTTGGTTTGAGGTCAAACCCTCCCAGAAAAGCTAAGCAACACATTCAAGATTATTGTCAAAGTTTCTTACTCATTGAAACAGCCTACCCCTACCACCTTAACAAACATTCAAGATTCTCTTAAAGCTAGAAATTAATTTTCAAACTCTCTTTCAACAGGATTTATGTACGAGTATTAGGGCCGATTTTACAATGCCAGTATAAAAATCTGTATAGTTTGTACCTAGATTTATACTGAGTATGACTGGTTTACATTAGATCCTCATGTGCGAACAGTTGATCGGAAAATATCTAGCTATCAACTACGATTTTGACTTTTGGAGCTTGGAAAGGTGGGCATTTCTCACATATTAGGCACTCTCACATTCACTTCTCCACTTCATTTAATCGGTAAATCTTCTAAGAATTTAGTGTCTTGGCAAAATTTGTTTATGTAAGAGCAAATAGAGTTTTTTGCATATCATCAAATCAACGTTATGAAGTTATTGAGAAAATGATCTAAAAACTTCTTTTAATCCGTACCTGTCCAGTATGTAAATTCTCGTTTTGGTATTCCACTTACCCAAAGAGATCATAATGAAAATTATGTTTGTCAAAATCAATCAGCGGATGCAATCGGAAAGATTGCCTGGCATTTTTAAAATGCGCTCTTTTCAGTCTCTTCGATCAAATTTTCAACTGGCCAAAGTAATATCGCAATGGATCGTTCTCTATGCGAATTTATTACTTCCGAGAAATTGTTTTAAAACGAACGATTTTTTAAGTAAATAATATTTTTATTATTAAATCTATAGGATTTCAAGATCTTATTTTTTTTTCTCAGTGATGGAACAACCTTGGTCTCAACACCTATACCTGAGAGCAAAAAGAAAAAGGAGCGGCGGAAAGAGAACGCTGCCATAGAGTCAAGTGACGAGGAAACAGCAAACAATCAAGGTAATTTTTTTATATGTATAAAAGACATAATCAAGTGACACTTTTTATTTCAAAATCCTGTATGTGATTTTTAACCCATTATAAAATAGACGGAGTATCAATTTTTCTTTAAGATAATATAGTTTGCATTATAAATTACATAAAGAACAACAATTTCTTGTAAATGTGCCATCAATTTCAGTTATATACTGCTATAGTTATAGGATGAAAAATGAATATATTGGTAATACATGCAAACTGAATTTAGTTTTGAGAACTTAAAAATATTGAATCAATTTCCAAGTACAGGGTGGCCCAAATTCGAGCCTCATCATTGGGATCTCCGTAACCGTAAGAGATACGGGGTTCGGTTAAATTATGGCAAAGTTGCGCAATTTTATGACCAATAGAATGCCGTTTTGAAACTAGGAAGATTCCCAATACTTCCGGAGATATTCGGAAAAAACCGAAATTTTGTAAAATCGTTTTTATTTTTTCCCGGGCTTATTTGAAAAGCAATTTTAAAATAAATGTCACTTCATCATTGTCACTTTTTCCCCTTTAAGAGATGGTGCTACAAAATTTAAAATTCGACGTTTCGTCTTCAGGTGGCCATCCTCAACTTACGTTTTTTAAATACGAACCTAGATTTTTTATTTGCGATTTTGTCCATCTTTGGGCATCCTAAAACCGATACTGTTTATAATTTTTCAATAACACGTTAAAAAAAGCAGGTCCGTATTTAAAAAAAATAAATTGATGATGATTCCAGAGGAACGAAACGTTGGATTTCAAATTTAATACCGCCATCTTGTAGAGAAGAAAAACTGACAATGGGAATGTGAAATTAGTTTTTCAAAATCTTTTTAAATGAAATCAGGAAAAAATTTAAAAAAAAAACGAGAAATTCATGTTTTTTTCGTATAGCTTTCATTTTTTCCTGATTTTATTTAAAAAGATTGTGAAAAACTAATTTTACATTCCCATTGTCACTTTTTCTTCTCTACAAGATGGCGGTATTAAATTTAAAATCCAACGTTTCGTTCTTCTAGAATCATCATCAATTTTTTTTTTTAAATACGGACCTGTTTTTTTTACGGTGTTATTGAAAAATTATAAACAGTATCGGTTTTAGGATGCCCAAAGATGACAAAATCGCAAATAAAAAATCCTGGTCCGTATTTAAAAAAAGGAAGTTGAGGATGGCCGTCTGAAGACGAAACGTCGAATTTTAAATTTAGTAGCACCATCTTCTAAAGGGGAAAAAGTGACAATGATGAAGTGACATTTATTTTGAAATTGCTTTTCAAATAAGCCCAGGAAAAAATAAAAACGATTTTACAAAATATCGGTTTTTTTCCGAATATCTCCGGAAGTATTCGTAATCTTCCTAGTTTCAAAACGGCATTCTATTGGTCATAAAATTGCGCAACTTTGCCATAATTTCACCGACCCCGTATCTCTTACGGTTACCGAGATCCCAATGATGAGGCTCGAATTTGGGCCACCCTGTACATATTTTCAAAATGCAATAACAAACCCGAGGGGTAAACCACTAGTAGAAATCATTGTACAGGGTGTTTCCTTATATTTTGACCCCTACCTACAGCTTTAGCTATACGAGGTGAAAAAAACTTTAAATGTGAAAGTTGTAGGTTGTCTATTATCTTTTGCGAATGTCAAAATGGGCAAATGACGGGTGCTAACTGTCACAATGACAAACACTTGCATTTTACAAATGGTACACCCTATACAGGGTGAGTTACTAATCGCGCGGTCGTCCATATCGCTTATACTAACGGAGATCGAAGAAAAAACTAAATACAAAACTTGTAGATAAACATGAGTACTACATTCCTAAATTATTTTCCAGTATACAGGGTGGCCCAATAAGTAGTGGTGATACAAAATTATGTTTTTTCAAATGACTCCCCCTCCCCTGTATATTATGACATTTCTGGATTCTGTGGAAAATTTTAGACATATTTCATGTATCATGTCATATACCTATCTTCAACTGTTTCAGGAATATTGACATTTCTAAATTGACTTTTTTGCGTCTTTGACAGACTGTTGTACCTAAACGGTTAATTTTAGAGGAAAACCGATATAACATTCCTATCTTAGATTTTCATAAGTTATCATTTGACACCAACTTTGAATTTAACTGAAGAAGAATAATTTAGGCGGAATGTTTAATCATGGATTAAATTCAAGGTTGGTGTCAAATAATAGATTATGAAAAACTAAGGCAGGAATGTATGATCGGTTTTGCTGTAAAATTAACCATTCAGGTTTAACCAAGAACTGTAATTTTTTGCGGTTCAAATAGATTGCACTGGATTCTTTGAAAAAATAACCTCAAATTTCGTTTTTGAATGTTTGTTTACAAAAAAGTTTGTGAAATATGAATATTAAAAAGAGGAAATTGTTGTTATCATTATCATTAGCTGCAGATGTATTTATCATCACCATTTGCATCTACAACCTGACACAAATACTTGCCATCTACCATAACTATTGGCTCATTTTCATCATTTAATACTATTTCTGTGAGTTTTAAAATAGACTTTGCCGGAAATTGAATCGGAAATCCGAAATAAATTTCAAAATTTATCAATTTGAACTTAGAAGTTAGAGATTGGAGAAAAAGTAAACGCAATCCAAGTGCAATAATGGAGCACACACGAACGCTTCAACTCGGATTTTCAGGAAGCCAGTTCACTTTTTTTGACAATTCGCACTGACCCAGCGCGCGATCGAATCGCCACATACCCGTTCTTGATTTCAGTGCAACTGCACCATCATTTTTCGAACTTGATCGGAGCCAGAGCTGTGTAGTCGAATACGTCATAAAATTATGTAAAATATAAGGATAAAGATACACTTTTGTAGCACTGATTCTGGTTTCATTTTCAGAGTTGCCAAGTATGCGATAGTAAAATGGGGGCGGAGTTAGCGGAATTATTTGAATCCCTACTCCTAGCCGCTCTCACAGCTCACCACCCCCCCCCCCCCCCCCCCCCCCCCGACCCATAAACATGTAGTCAACCAAAACAAAGCTATTTTATCAATGGGATGTTCTGTCTATCTGTGTTAATAGGTCATTGGGTTTAACCCCTTTCACTGTACCACCAATAATATGATGGAAGAAAAATACTAAACATTATTTTCTAGAGTTGAAATGATGTAAATAATGAAATTTTGTTGAAAACATTTTTTTTGCCCCCCTCCAGTTTTTTTTAGGGTTTGTCCCGCTAGACTGCTAGAGGGACAAATACAGTTGATGGACCGTAGCAAAAAAAAACTTCTAAAAAAATCAACTTTAATGGCAAAAAAGAAAGGCACATACAGGGTAAGAAGTGAATCCTGTAAATATTAAACGCGAATGGAAACGGTAGAAACAGTTTCTGTCTTTCGTAAGGCACAAATGTACTTCACATTTTTTACAAAAAACATGACTTTTCAGCTTGCAACCTTCCATTTTGCATCGTGAGTTATCATTTTTCTCATCAATTTCTGGGAAATGCTTATAGCCATCATAACGGGCTTCTTGGGATGGACTAAACTCATGAGGTGGTTTTCTAGAAGGTCCAGGAAAATCCATGCTGCCTCGTTTAGGAGGGTTTTTCGAAAGTATCAGGTTTTCAGGTACACATTGACGAAATGCAAGGAGATCTAGTATGCTGCATACCTATTTGAGTAGCTTGAATTGCCTGTATTCCAACCAAGAGTTGACCAGTGCAAGATCTACCGCATGTGATATCATTCGGACAGTCCATTTCTTAGATCTAACCTATGATCTGTAGAAACTCAATAGAAAATTGTGTTTATCGACACCGCCCATATTATTATTATATATTTTGATGGACTCTGGTCTTGAAACTTAAATATACTCTTTTGTAGTTCTGTCCCATCTTCGACAATTATGTTTTTCTCCAATGCCAATAAAATTGGATCCCACTACCACCTCTTTGTTATCATATCACTTTGTGAGGACTATTCCATCCTTACTTAGGAAAATAGCTGAACTTCCTCGACCTTGTTGCTTCATCTCTTTATCGCTTGGAAGCTTGGGGTGAGCAAAACGATCCAACCTAACTGTACCTACAGCAATGATTCATTTAGACCATAGAAACTGAAATAGTTGAAAAGTACTAAAATAATTATCAAAGAATAGTCCATGATTTGGTTCACCTATTCTTTCAGAAAGTTGCATCACTGTGCCTGTTGCTGCCCCATACAATGCATGTAAGAGGGATTTACTTCAGTGGTGGTTCCCTGGTAAATTATAAAATCATATATTATACCACTCTTCCCGGCCAATCCGTTAATTTTGACTCCCCATTTTTTGGGCTTATTTTTCAGGTATTGTTTGATATTGAAATTCCCTTTGCAAGGAACGACTTGTTCATCTACACACAGGTTTTCTTCCAATGGCAGCTACAGGCACCTTTTTCTGAGGGATTCGTATAAAGGCCGAACCTTCCACAATCGGTCGCTGTTATTATCTTCTCGGCTGTTTATATCTACTAAATGGATTGTTTGTCTCAGTTTATAAAATCTACGTAAATTCATGTTTTCTCTTATAATTCCAATTCCGATCGTCGGGTTCCAGTACATATTGACCCGGGGAAAGTTCATATTTCCCATCATTATATGAATGCCAATGAACTTACGTATTTCCTGAACTGTTGTTGGTGGATAACGAGCGACGTTTTTTTGGATGGCATATAGGTTGGTCATATTCATTATTTGTTCATATATGTGATTGGGAATGTATCTTGGAAAAAAATCACTAGGCGATGGCAAGTCTACTACTGGTGGAAACTGGGGAGTGTACCATTTGATATTTCTTGTTTCATATTCCACATTATTCAACCAGCGAATATTTTGTTTTTCAGTTAGACCATATGTTTCATAGAAAACCTTCATACTATTTAATTTTTCCTCATTTATTTTCCTTTTTTCCTCCATCTGCTTCTTTTTACCTCACTGTTGTCACAATTCATCACGTCCAT